GAGGGAAAAAGGGGGGCAAATGTGAGAGGAAAATGGTGAGAAATGTGAGGAGAAAATGATGAGAAATGTGAGGGAAAAAGGGGGGGAAATGTGAGAGGAAAATGGTGGGAAATGTGAGGGGAAAAGAGGGGGGAAAAGGGCAGGAAACATGAGGGGACAAAATGGAGGGAAACGTGAGGGGAAAAGGGGGGGAATCATTAACCCTCGAAGCTGTGAGTGCCCCGGGGGGTTTTGGGGGTCCCTGTGAGTGCTCTGAGGGGATCTGGAGGGGTTTGGGGGTCCTTCTGAGTGCCCAGGGGGGGTTTTGGGGTCCCCTGAGCCCCCCAGCCCCCTCACCTTGTGTTTCCCCCCCAGGTACCAGTTCAACCCGGCCTTCTTCCAGACGGGGGTGACGGCCCAGATCCTGCTCAAGGCCCTCACCAACCTCCCCCACACCGACTTCACCCTCTGCAAGTGCATGATCGACCAGGCCCACGTATCCCTGCGGCAGGAATTCCGCTGGGAAACCCTGGAATTCCACAGGGAAACCCCCCCCCCCCCCCCCCTCCCCCATCGGAAATTCCTGAGGGAACCTCCAGCCCTGGGTTCCTCCCAGTTTCCCCCCCCCCCCAATCAGGATCCCTCACCGTTCCATTCCGTGGGGATTTAGGGATCAAGGGGGACCTGGAATTCCTAAGGGAACCCCTAATTCCGTAGGGAATTCCCTCGGGAACTTCCATTCCCTGAGGACCCCCCAGCCCCAGGTCCCTCAGTCCCTCGACACCCCCCCTCCCCAGGATCCTTCATCATCCCGTTCCATAGGGAATTCCACGGGGATTTAGGGATTTGGGATCCCTCTCATTCCACAGGGAATCCCCCCCCATTGCATAAAGTTCTAATTCCATAGGGAATTCCCCTGGGAATTCCCTTTCCATGGGGACCCCCCTGCCCCAGGTCCCTCAGTCCCTCAGTACCCCCCTTCCCCCAGCATCCTTCATCATCCCATTCCATAGGGAATTCCACAGGGATTTAGGGACTTGGGAACCCCACAATTCCCTGGGGACCCCCAGAAATCTGTGGAGAACCCCTAAAATTCCATAGGGAATACACCGGGAACCCCCAGACCCAGGTCCCTCAGTCCCTCACTCCCTCCCCAGGATCCTTCATCATCCCATTCCATAGGGAATTCCACAGGATTTTAGGGATTTTTGGAACCCCACAGTTCACCGGGGGAGCCCCCAAAATTCCACAAGAACCCCCCTTTTCCCTGCCCCACATTCCCCAAAGGAATCAAACCTGGTGTCTCTCTACCCCAAAAACCCCCTGGATTTTGGGATCTGGGAAGGAGGGAAGGGGCTGATTTTTGGGCTCCAGCTGGGGGGGGGGGCACTCTCTTTTTTCCCAAATTTTTCCTTGATTCCCCCCAAAAAAAACAGCAAGAGGAACGTCCCATCCGGCAGATCCTGTACCTGGGGGAGCTGCTGGAGACCTGCCACTTCCAGTCCTTCTGGGTGAGTCCCCACACCCCCCAAAATTGGGGCTGGGGGGTCCCCAAAATTCGGGGGGGACCACCTTAAGCCTCCGAAATTCCAACAGCAAGCGCTGGATGAGAACATGGAGCTGCTGGAAGGGATCACGGGCTTCGAGGACTCCGTCAGGAAATGTGAGGGGAAAATGGAGGGAAATGTGAGGGGAAAAGGCGGGGAAATGTGAGGGGAAAAATGGCGGGAAATGTGAGGGGACAAAATGGCGGGAAATGTGAGGGGACAAAATGGCGGGAAATGTGAGGGGAAAATGGAGGGAAATGTGAGGGGAAAAGGGTGA